GTTACATTTCCCTTCTTAAATTAAGATACATCCCGAATTTGTATTGAGGTTCATCAAAGAAAATTTTAAATGTAAAACTCGGCCACATTGTAATTAAGGCGCTAGCAAGGGTTACGTATCCTCAAGTTCAAGGCAATATCAAGTTAGTATCCTTGAGATACATTTCCCTTCTTTACTGAAGATGCATCCTGCATTTGTATTGAAGTTCATCGAAGAATATTTTAAATGGAAGGCTTTGCCACATTTTGCTTGTGATTTTTCCAAATGAAAAATTCTACATTGAACAAGAAATTTAGTAAATTCAATGAAATATTTGAAAGAACTCACATACATTTATTTGCCGATTCTGATTTATTTTTCCACTCAATATATCCATTTGGAGCTGGAAGACTCCGATGCTGGTAAACACTTATTCCAATTTACATAACTTTTATTTGTATTGCATAATTTAAGAAATACACGTTATTATTTGATTTTTGATCAATTTTGAAGCCAGAGTATGACGCAATTAATATTTCGTTATAATATTTTAAGCAAATGCCACATATTTGGATTATTAATAAAGCGATCGACTAGAATTTCGCACTACATACACGATCAACTCACCTAATTTAAATTAATTTTTGTTCAAACTATTCGGTATCAAATTAAGTATTTCAGTATCCCTCAAACATTTTGATAAACCCATATCAATGGAAAGTATCTGCACTTTCCAATATTTCCTTTTTCATTTTTTTAAACGAGACCATTGTTCAGCAGTTGCTACCGCAGGCTCGACAACCTAGGACCTCAGCCGCAGCTACTGGTCTCTATAGCAGACAAATGTGCTTTTCGGCAACCGCAAAAGAAAGAGAAAGTTGCTGAAAGTTGCTAATGGGACAAACAGGTGAAAAATTCCGGTGAGCGTCTTTTTAGCTTCTGCCTTGGAACCTACCAGAGGATTATGGCTGATAAACCTAAACCTAGTCATTAAGGTAAATGACTCGTGTGAAATTTTATCACAATTATGAAACATTATTTTTTAAATAAAATAAAAAGTTCTATGTAGAATTTTTGCAAATTTTTACAACTTCCATTATGAAATATCTCAAGCAAATTTTTGGTGCGTCCAGCGAATAAAGAATATCTTTTCCGCACATAGTCAGAAATAAAACAAACGTCATTTCTGCATCCAAAGAATGACAAAATGTCCTTTCTTGTATACTGTATGTAGCATCCTACATTTAAGTGTGAGGTTCACGGAAAACATCGGCACAAAGAGGAAAGTTCAGTCGTGTCATGAAGCCCGTAAGCTCTGCCGACCTCACCGAAAGTTGCCAGTCGAGAGAAAGCTCTTCTTTCCAGCTCTTTCTAAACACTTCAAGTTGGGTCTCAGGTCAGATTTTTCCACTTTGTCTCCTGTTAAAATAGAATTCGTTTCTAACGAGACGATGGAACGCTTTAACTAATAATTATATTGGATTCATCATCAAGCTGAATAATTAATGTATTTATTTTTTGGTTAACGAAACGTATAAAGTTCTAATCTGATTAGCAAGCAGCGAGCAAGGAAAGCCCAAGAGTCTTTTCGTCTCATGTGTTCCGAGATAAGAATGTATTCATTGAGATGAATAAAATTTTCCAAATGAATAAAATTTTTTGGCCCACAGTATTTGCAGTTATCGATAATTCTTAAGAAACAAAATGTATTCCAAGTAAACGAAGGTTTTTTTTTTCAACTGACAGTGTCCACACATTGTTAACCAAATTCTGTTTTCACGCAACGGAAGTCACGAATCAACCTGTTTCACGCATCAACCTGTTCCAACTCAATTATTTCCGTGATAACAAGACCCTTGCTCACATAGCACATATCTCAACTCCAACAACCTATTTCTTACATCTAGATTCTAGCTAGATGTTGCTTTTATCACTCCTTCGTCGTCCTCGATGCAACATCTCACCCTACAACCAGAGCTGGGCAGCGCTACTTTGAAATGTACATGCTCTAAATGTAGCGGGCACTACCGCTACCGCTACAATTGCTTAAATGTAGCGCCGCTACCGCTACATGTAGCGCGCTACTGCCCACTCTGCCTGCATCGTCCTTAAGACAACGCACACGTCATGGCGGAGGCAACAGATGCGTGCACGGCTAACGGTAGCACGTCGCCTTGACCGTCACAGCGTCTCCCCTTCGTCGTGACGTCAACGCCGGCGACCAAGTCCATCACGGCGGCAGATGTCAACGATAAGTTACATATGGCGGTACATGTAAGTGACATAAGCAAAGGAATTGAAAAAACTCTCTCCATTCCACGATATTGGTGGAAATTTGTCTTTATATTGCGTCTATATTCCTCTCTAAACATTTCTCGGAAACTCATTAGCACAAGATAAGTTGAATTTTTTCTAAACCTAAATAAAAAAATATTATATAGAAAAATTTAAACGCTTATGTGAGCTATGAACGTTATTCGCCTGAAAATTGGACGTTTTAATACTGACAAAAAATGCACAGTTTCCAACACTGAGGGCGTCAAGGCAGCAGGTGGCTGCTGCAAACAGCTGGTCCCGTGTATTGTAATTTTAACTAAGAAAATACAAGCAAAAGCAGGTCATTCGAGAGGAAAAAAATGAGTTCTAAGCTTATGGCTCGTAAAGCAGGCACCTGCCAGAGCTCAATTAACCTGTTCGAAATGCTTATTGATGCGGTAATGTTTTCTCTTATTTACGGGTGGAGTGCATAGCTAACTAAAATTGTTCTTGATTTTCTTAAATGAATAAAATAACCTGCATAACATTCAAGAACAGTTTAGGGCGATGGTAATGAACCAGCAGTTTGTTTTGAAAGAAGTTACTATTGTCTTGTTCTACTGCTTTTTTGTATTATATTATACAGAGAATGATACTCTTCATGTAAAAAATCGCTAGTTTCTTCGTGAAAAAGTTCTGTTTTCATATAATTTACGAGTGGTTCAGACTGAATAACTTACAGAACAGAACAAGAAAACAAGAAAGTTATTGAAGACAAAAATCATCCACTCGGCTGACGCTTGCTGTTCAACGCCGCACAGTAAGCATCGCTGCTGCCACGCGTTGCGTGCCAAGTCATTTGGAGTGCATTAAAGTTTTTATCTTGCGTGCTAGAATGACTATACAGGTAAAAAATTTAGTCGTTAGGAGTAATTGCCTAATAATAAAGGACCTTTAACTCCTGTAGTTAATTCGCAACTATCTGGTGGAATAATACTTTTTAGGCCTGTTTATTTTTCATGAATAAAGTTCCAAGTTAATACTTTAATTCAAGACGCCTTTGCTATGTTCCGGAACATAAATCAGAAAATGCCTGATAATTGCCTAATGTTTGCCAAAAAAGGCCGGTGACGATATATGGTGATTTATGCGGAGCGAGATGTCGAATCCATAATTAAACAGTAATAAATTATGCAGAAAATAATGCTCGAGGAACACCATAGAAAAACCGTAACGTTTTTTTTCTTGCTCATTCAATTGGCGGTCTTTAACGTCTGCGCTGAATACGCGACCGCGCTCACGGCGCCATCTGGCCACCGCTGCGGCGTCCGTAGTGTATGTTGACTGCTGTGATCAAACACTCGCATGGCAATTAAGCTATAAGACCTTACAGGTAATATAATGCCGTCTATACAACGGAAACGAAAGCATGGCAATCGAGCTAAGAGAACTCATAGGCGAAAATAATGCCTTCTTTACAACGGACACGGAAGAGGAAATTTGCATTTATGCTTTAGAATTTACCTTGTCAAGATTTCTTATTTATCATGATAAAATTTCTGCAGACCTTCGTGATGTTAATGATTGAGCAATCTGGGTAAAGCATGCATATTTAACTATGATATCATGTAAGCTTGCAAATTATCATCACATATGATGTCTAAATCAAAAGGAACCTAATCGCTTATTATTATTGTTATTATTAAGAATTATTTTGTGTGATTTTGTCTGGCTTGACTTCCTGCAAGAGGACCCTAGCTAATCTCTTAAAAAAAACAAACATCTTCTGTATCAGTTTAGGCTCCCACTCGGTATACAAGATAATCTCTCTTGCCTAGACGGTGTGTTTGCTGAGGTTCATCCGATTAGAAAGTAGGTTCTCCAAACAATCTGCTCACATTAGCTGCACAAGCACACTAAGTAACCACCAGCAGTGGAATGCACAAACGGAAAATCCTGAGCTCCTTAAACACTCCAGAATATCGGGCTCGAAAGTTAGCAGCTGAAGATGTGTCCTCGTAGTGAAGAGTAAGACCGAATTAAATTCTTAGCAAACTACTAATGTATCGCAAGCATTTCTCGTGTACGTCCATACATTATCCGTCCACAATTAACTGCCCGCATATGCTTGAGTGAAAAATTGCTCAAATCATCGTAATCAGAGGATAATCATAGTTATAGACTGCAATTTGATCGCAAAGTCCAATGCTTCCTCGAATGTCACGAGCGTTTCGTTCCATGACCAACAGCGAAATTTATATTTCAACGAAATATCGAAACGATATTTTTCCCTTATTTTTCATACTATATAAAATAATATGTGATGTAAATACATCTAGTATAATTGAATTTTAAGTGCTGATGGCCCTTTCTCAAGCCCTGTATGATCTATGAACACGATACACTAAAAAACCTGACAATAATATTTCTGGAAAACCGCGCACTTCGCCGATTTTCAGCTAGGGGGAACAGTGCTTCGCGGAATTGGTCTTCGACCCTATTGTGAATGTGCTACATTCAAAACTAATGCTTTTGGCTTAAAGATTGACCATCATTAGGATAATGACCCACGTCTTTGAAAGACATCAATTTAGTTCCAATTAGATTCCAGTAAATTAAAGAGAACGGTATGAATGTACGGTGGCTGTGTATTATACAGCGAAACTTTGATCTGAAATATTGTGTATGAAAGACGCCTTTGTTGGATTATTATTAGTATTATTATTGTAGTACTAACGTACAAAAATTAAATGTCTGTTACTCACCATTTTCACTCCAGGTCCCTTGATGGAGCCACCAGACACAGTAGGATGGTAATCCTGAAAAAAATATATATACACATTACTTTTACGTTTTTTAATTTACATTAAAGTATTTGAATACCCTTAAACTGAAATTGCAAGAACCAAGTAAGTATTATTTCTAAATATTGCTAAATTTAGAGTTTACTAAGAAGCTTATGAATCCAAGAGACTGGAGGAAAAGGACCTGAAGCGTCTGTGGGATTGTCGGTAGTTAACCAAAAGTCTGCTGCATAGAACTCTTCTTAAATAGTAGCTACTCTTCTATTTAATAACATAAATTTAATACTCCAAATCGGGCATCGAAAATCAGGAAATTGAAAGAAGTGTGAGTATCATTTTCATCATTCAGTATCTTTTCTCAATCTCTGTTGTTTTTTTCATATCCGTAAAGTTGTCCCACGTGTTTGCTGAGTAGGTTTACAACCCGACCGTCCAACCCTCATTCGAGCAATTAAGTGTTTCTTTTGCAGGAAACAACTTCAACTAATTTTATTAGACCTGTTTTTACCTCGATTGAAAATTCATTGATTTCCGGTGCACTGTCTGAGTATTTTTTTTATTGAAAACCTGCAACATAGTATTGTGATTTTCTAATACTTAAAGCATAAGTGGCATTAGGCTAGCACCCCATGATTATGCTACGGTTTAATAATAAACTTAAACATTTAACATATAGTTTTTTTCAATTACCATTCTGAGCAGTTTTTCGTCGAAGGAAATGTTTATTGCACGCGAAAAATTTCCGTCTTTTTGTGACCTCGATTTTTAATCCTATAAAATGTCATCTGATTTTTTTGCTTGGAAGTCCCTCTTCACATTTTAAATTACTGGCAGCAAACTTTGTCTTTGCTTTTTATAATATGCGCGTCTCAACGCATACACTGAGAGAACAAAGAGCCCGTCCAGCTGTTGCAAAAATGTACTCAATGTAACGCACTTAATCTTTTGAATATTACGATAATGTCCGAGCACAATATACTTGCTCTCTCAGAATATTGTTCACTCATGACAATCAATAAAAGGTCATTGTAACAATTAATTAATGCGATGTTTGCCAGTACAGCTTCAGGGTAACTTAAATTAATTCACATATAGCAATGTAACAGATAAATCGTTTATTGAAAATATTCCTCAAAAAGTCAATGCCTATTCGATGACATCATATGCAACTGACGATAATAAATTGTATCAGGAGGAATAATTTTTTAGTGATCTGCACTCATAGGAACATATAAAAATAAATTACCCTGATTAAAATTAACGAAAATCTGATAGATTATATTTTTTAACATCATTATATTCTCGCCAGACACGTTTCTCTGAAGATCTTAATCTTCAATAAGGCAGAAAATAAGAGAAAACAACACTCCTAACATTGAACTAGACGAGAGAATAACTGCTACGTGAGAGAGGACCTAATTACCGCATGGTTAATTTATAATCATTAGGACCGTGTTAAGAGAGACGTTTTACTGAGCGCGGCGCACCTGCAGCAGCAGCCGAGAAAGCCGGCACTCCGATGTCTCCGGAGGATGTAGAGCAACAAATAAATGTCCCGTGACGATGTTTAGTGACAGCAGATAAGCATTATTAAGAAGAAGAAAGAGGTAAGCGAGAGATATTAATTAAGGTATCATTTACGACCGGAAACTGCTCAATTTGGAATCAGTGTACATAAATAAGAGAACAGAGTCATATAGAAGAGTTCGTTTCATGCCTCATGTTGAGCTGGAGCTTCGGAAACAAAATTATTACAAGCGAGCAGGTAGGAATTTTGTCATGACTTGGCAGCTCTGGTGATCATATACAATCTATCAGACTCCAATTTTATCGATTTATAATTTTCATCATGATCCGTTACACCAGATGAAACACTATATAACGCCATATTTTGAACATGTTCATATACATTAACAACTTTCTCCAACTTAATTGTCATGCGAGATGTTTTATATCAAAAGTCAAGATGCATTGAGCTAGATATGTCATTAAAAATAGAGCTAAGAGATTGAATAGTATACAGATGAATAATTGGAAAGAAAATGTTCATATTCAACGTAAGAGTTTGCTTAAATATAAACGATAACATGACTATTAAGCTTGAATATGGTAAAGCCCGAGTCACTGGACATCCTTTCAGTTGAAGCAGCAATTGCGTAATTAGAAAGCTTTCGGCCTTCCAAAGTGGAAGTTAAGGCTAGGTCACCGATCTGAAAGTCCGTAAGAGCGATCAGAGCTGAAGAGCTTCTTGCTGCTCTGCATTATAAAATCCTTGGTGAGGGTGAAAGTATCCTACGCACACTGACCGACCATGCCTGATTCTGTACTGTGTGACCGGAGTAAAGTGGTTGAAGACCTCGAATAGTAGAGCTGTCCTGCTTGGTATGTAGATAGTGCCTTTCCCCTTACTCCTCTTCACTGTGGACATGTGCCTGAGTGCTGACCATGTTATGAAAATGTGCCAGGATTTCGTACGTGCAGCATGAAATACATTCTTGGGCTAACTAATTAACCTATTGTCTTTTTCGCAATGGAGTTAAAAATTCCCCTTAAATGGTAAAGACCTCGAACGATTGTGCTATCGTGCATGGTATGCAGATACAGTGTCTTTCCCTTACTCCCTCTCCACTTAACATGTACCCATACGGAGCTTGTGCAGAGTTGAAAAGACATACATGGTTCTAGTAAAATAAATTCAATCTATTGTTCGCTAAGTAAGGCAACAAAAAATATGCGGTGAATACTGATTGATGTTAAATTTATTTAACACAGGATTCCGCGAAACTCACAATAGTTTTCAAAGTTTTGCAAAGCCCAACTTTTAGCAAACCAGCAATCCATTTCAAATTATAGAAATATAAAAATTACCGAACATTTTTAATGAACAGATACTATAACAACAATACAATCAGATGAGAATCTGCTTACCTTAACAATTTTTTTTGAACGCTTCGATTTTTTCTCTCTTTGTTCTCGCGACTGTAAAATGTTATTTCATTTATTTCCCTTCAGATAATAAACTCTTTGAAATAAACCGTTTAGGAATATCATTTTATTATATTGTTGAGAATTTTGGCAGTGTTCCTTATCAAGTCATTTGGGTAATTTAGCTATGCAAATAGAGCTATGTATGCAAATTAAGTACATTATACATTTAAATAACGAACCTCACGCCCTTTGTGGCATACCATAGTTTCTTTTAATCCATGAAGTGAGAAAACTGAATAATTCATGAGAAGGAGATTAAGGGAGTAGCCACTGAGCTTTGAAATAATGAAACGTGCGAGAAGTTATTCTAAGTGTCTCCGCAGCTACAAGTTTTATCAATTTTTTGTCATAAGTAAATGATAAATTAATAATTTATTTATCGTTATTTATAATCTTTATCATGATCATTTAATTCATTTAGTGTCATTTGAAACTATTCAAATGTATGGAATTGAAAGAAAAGTTATCGTCATAACTGAAATTGCAAAACGCGACGATGTGTAAAGATCATTCTACCGATAAAACAGATATCATATTATTGCTATTATTTACCTCAACGTCTTGTTCTAAATTCCAATTTTGTAACAATATTTTTCATCAACATTTAATTTTGGCAAATTGTTTCGAGATAATTAACTTTTTCAAGTTCTTTTTAAAACAAACTTCTCTATTTATGCTCTGTTGTAGGCTCTCATGATTCGTGTACTAAAAAGAATGAGTGGCTCATATTGTACAAATCGTAATCTACGCGTAAATTTGCCCAAACTGTGTCAGGATGACCCACACAAGGTCAACAAGTGCGTAGCTATCTGGAAAAAGCCTAAGTCATTTGTATGAGAGTATTCTCAAGGTGTGTCAAGTAAAAAAATGAACAAAAATTTCAATAGGTCCTGTTTGTTTTACAGCGCCTGTTGTCGGAGATGTAACCACGGCAATGGGAGGATGAGAACGTCAGCGGGTTTCCCTCTCATCAATTGTGACGAGCAGCAAACCCAGCGCGGGCAGCTGTACGTGTCAGACGGAGATTAATGTCAACACGGCGCGAGTTGGCGCTGCTGTGGGCAGTCAATGGCTAATTATAACACGATTATTGCACTTATTAAAATCTTCAATATATTTTTTCAAATCATAAAATCATGTAAGCATTTCTGTAATCATGTAAGCATCAGTTTATTACAAAATTTTTGTTCGCATTTAGTGCGTATAGGGTAAAATAATGCAGCTACTGATGGGGCAGCTGTTAAACAGTGATTTAATTCTATTTTTTGTGTTATTTTCTCTTTCCTAAAATATTATTTTAGGAGCAGATAATCCCTTTTCATTAATTTACTTTTTGTAAAAAATTTCTTCAATCATTTATGTAATACGAGGAAAATTATCAAATAATCGCCGTACATAATTAGGTTCACTGGAAACCCTAAAAGTTAAAGAGAAGCATACAGGTTACCTCTAGTCGGACAATAAACGTTTGTTAAGCTCAATTCATTTAACATTGCACGACATATTACCATGAAGCATCAGAGGTACGGCCCCCAAATCAAATAAATTTTCACTTATTAATCGGGTCAAAACCTCGTACGCTTTTATAAGACGACTTCTTTCGAACGACGATTGTGAATATATATTCATTTGAAAATAGTCAATATGTTATAATCCGTCACATGATATTTAGTTTTCCTCTGTTCGATAGGCAAAAGTTATACTATATGTCCTTTAAAAATCCCAAAGCCATCGAGGGAGGAATCGCTGTTCTTAATAAAAGAAAATAATCACCAAAGCCAATTAGATTTCGCTGCAAATTTTGAGAAGTTTTCTTCGACTGGAAAATTCGAGAAACAATCCTGGTATAAAGAAGCCCATGTGATCAATTACCCCCTTTTTTATTTTGGTGTGAACGAAATAATTCAGAAATTTTCAGAAATGTGGACGTAAGAGCTCGTAGCATTTCGAATCAAATATGTTTTCATTTAAGCCAAAAATCTGTATTGCAACATGAGGTTCAATACGGACTATGCCTATTAAGGGCA